GATTCTAAGTGGACTCCTGAGGTCTCCGAGACCTATTTTCATTTATTGAGAGCTGTCTAACCATTCTTCTTTGTGATGTGAGGGAGGCTGGAGCCTGCTGCTCTGCCATTTTGGTGACATCACTCCAGTATTTCATCATTCAGTGTGATGTTACCTGTAGGTTTTTGTAGATGCTCTTTATCGTGTTGTGTAATTGTCCTTCTCTATCTAGTATGTAGGCTCCTATCATGATTGAGTGAGGTATCCATCTGAAAACTAAATATAGGTTTGGAATATGGTAAAAAGCCTCAAGCATGTTGGCTTGATAAGCCAGTCCCAAGCTGAGAAACAGAATGATCCCTTTCCTTTTCCTTCTGTCACTGGAGGAAATATGGGAGGGAAAAGGATTTCCATATAATTATAACAATTCTTCAGAAAGCAAATAGATTCCTGAATTTTAAAGTCCTAATTTGTTTTTGAAAAGTCACTATATCAAGACATCTGTTTCCAATGCGCATGCTGTAGATGTATGTAAAGACAGAACTGGCTTGAGGCAACACATGCTCGCCAAGGCTGTGCGGCATCTGTCACCAGCTCTGCACAGCCCAGGAGGATGAGCTAGGTATTACTCCTGCCTGTTTCCCTGGAAGAACCCTTACACTGCCACATGGGTCCTACGCATTTAAAAGGAGGTTGGAATATAAAGGCTGGAAACCACATCAAGTGGCCGGGTGTCTCCTTCACCCTCACAGGCAGCCAAGCATTTGGGATAAATATCTCTCGAGCACAGGGCCTGCTACTAAGTGGATGGTCACTAAATATTTCTTGAATAATTGGTTCTTATTTAAGAAATTTTCTACAAATGTTGAAAGTTCCAAAACTTATGGAGGGTAAATGCGTTTTGTTTTTGACTGTAGTCTTTTGGTTTAACCGGTATTATGAAAAATGCCATCTCTATGGCTCAGGATGAACAATGGAAGAGAATACGAACGTTGCTGTCTCCAAGCTTCACCAGCGGAAAGCTCAAGGAGGTAAGGAAAGAAGAGGACCTGCTATTAGAAACTTAAAGAATGACTCTAGGGACACGTAGAAAATAAGAGTATAGTCCCTTTTCAAGGAGCAGTCTGCTAAACTTGGGTTTCCTAAAAATAGTCTTTTATCTTCACATCCTAGAAGAAACATTATAAGATGCATTATAAAAATCTCACTTACTGCCCCATTCTTGGGAAAACCAAGTCCTTCTAGGACTTGAGTGTCTGTATTTAACCTCAGGTGGTGTTGTATTTTGTGTGTAGATGTTCCCCATCATTGGCCAGTATGGAGATATGTTGGTGAGAAATATGAGGAAGGAAGCAGAGAAAGGCAAGCCCGTCACCATGAAGGAGTAAGTAGGGGCGAAGCTGCCGGTGTTCTGGGCACCGTGGAGACCCTCCAGCTGCCTGCCACGGAGCCGAAAAGCCATGTTGAGTTACCCTAGGGACCAGGCAGAAGCAGGTGTGTGGTGGGACAACTCCAGCGGGCCACCTCAGAATGAGTGTTGGCTCACCGAAGGACGCAGGACAGTCAGGAGAGAAAGGGTCTCCTCCTGCGAGCATGAGCCAGGATTAACTTATTCGCTTACCTGTCACTTTAGATATTCTGGAAGACAAAAGTTCATAGTTTAGAAAGAAGAAATGTTATTGGACCAAGGCTCTGAGTGCAGAGGGTGTGGCCTGGTGGCAGGGGAAGGCCCTTGGTGCGTGCTGGCAGGCAGTGGACGGGGCAGGAACGTCACAGAATGGAACTGGAAACAACTTCGGTCTCTTCACAGTTTTCCAGAGGATACCAGCAAATACTAAATATTAACTCTTAAATACCCTTTGTTCTTCCTCAAAAGAGAGAAGACCCTGTAAGGCCTACGGGTAGGGTGACCACAGCATTTGTTGTCTAAACTGAGATTTTGAGGGGTGGGGTCAAATGTGAAAACCATGCTTTATTTCTACTTGTTTTTAATTATGCAGGAACAACAGGTATAAACTGAGAATGTCCTGGGAAAACTGGGAACATATGGTCACCTGTCTATGGGATCCCCTAAATCAATGCTGGAGTGACTTTTTTTTTTTTAACTAGTAAACATTTTTACTCCTTACGTTTTACAGAAATGATTCTGCCCTCAGGGCAACCACAGATCAGTGGCGCTGAGGAAGAGCGGGTCTCTGCAGCCTTAGCAGGGGTGCACGCCGAGGAGGGGTGATGTTTCTGGCAGCCCTAGCAGGGTGCTGCTGTCCTGTGATGTGCTTAAGAGGGATCAGCTGTGAGAACTGTGTTGAGGCGAGATCCAGATGAATGTCTCCTTTCCTGACTCCCCCAGGAAGAGTTAATTATTCCATCCTTCATCCTGCTCAGACACAGCGCTTATACACCTGCTATTGCCCATAGTCAAAACATGCTACTGCAATTTGTCTGATTGTGGGCCTCCATCCCTCTATGCCTGAGCTCCTTGAGTTGGGGGTGAGGGTGTCTAACTTGCCTTAGTGTCCCCATCACCCCAGCACAGGGCCAGCTGCATCACTGTCACCTCATATACACCTCATGAGTGAGTGTGATGGCAGCATAGGTTCTTCCATGATCCAGCAGGTGGGCCTTAAACTGGTGGCTCTTTACCTGTCTTGCCTGGGCATCTGAATTTACATACATTCTTGTTGCGTTTGGTGGGTAAGGATGGTAAAGTGGTGCTGATTGTAATTGTCCACGTCTTTCTTTCTCCACTCAGCATCTTTGGAGCCTACAGCATGGATGTGATTACCAGCACAGCATTTGGAGTGAACGTTGATTCTCTCAGCAACCCACAAGATCCTTTTGTGGAATACGGCAAGAAGCTCTTAAAATTTAACTACTTAGATCCATTCGTTCTCTCACTACGTATGTGGACTACTTTATTTCTTTTTCTTTATCCCTTCTTCCCTCCCCTCCTCTCCCCTCCTCTTCATTCCTTTCGTCCTTCCTTTCTTCCTTTTTAATAATAGCTTTATTGAGATACAATTCACACATATAATGCACTACTGTAAAATACACACACACACACACACACACACACACATGAATATTATTCAGCCAGAGAAGGAAGAAAATCCTGCCCTTTGTGACAAAGTGGAAAGAGCTTGAGGGTATTATGCGAAGTGAATTAAGTTGAACAGAGCAATGCAAATTCTTATATGTAGAATAACACACACACACACACACACAAAGAAGAAGAAGAAGAAGAAGAAGAAGAAGAAGAAAACTAAACTTATAGAAAAGCGAGATTAGATTTTTAGTTACCAGAGGTGTGGGTTGGGTGGTGGGGTATTGGATAAAAGTGGTCAAAAGCATACATTTTCAGTTATAACATAAAATTAGTGGCAGTGTAAGGTACTACATAAGTATAATCGACACCACTGTGTGCTACATTTGTACCTTGCTAAGAAAGTAGATCCTAAAAGTTCCTATCACAAGGGAGAATATTTTTGTAACTATATGAGGTGAGGAATTTTAAGTACACATTATGGTGTTAATAATTTCACAATACATGTATGTGTTAAGTCATTATGCTGAACACAAACTAAGACAGTACTGGGCCTCAAGTATAACTCAATGAAACTGAAAAAAAGGTTTTAGTACTTTCAAAGATTGTGCAACCATCTTTACAGTCAGTAGAAGAACATTTTTGTCAGTCACAAACCTGTTACCTTTCATCTGTCACTTCCCACTCCCCTTGACCCTGAGCATCCACTAATTTCTATCTCTGTAGATTTGCGTGTTGTGGACACTTCAGGTAGATGGAATCATTGAATATGTGGTCTTTTGTGGCTGGATTCTCTTGGTTACCATGAAGTTTTCAAGGTTCATCCCCACTGTAGCATATATCAGTACCTCATTTCTTTGTGTGGCCAAATAATATTCCATTATGTGGACTTTCTGCATTTTGTCCATCCATGCATCAGCCGAGGGACATTTGCGTTGTTTCCACCTTTTGGCTGTGTCAGTAGTGCTGCTGCACACGTTCATGGGCAGGTTTTGTTTGAATATCTGTTTTCAATTCTTCTGGTGGTACTCAGGGGTGAAACTGTAAGTTATGTAGTAACTCTGTGTTTCAGTAACCACCAAACTGTTTCTTACAGTCTTTTTTGATATAAATGTCTATTCAGATCCTTTGTCCTTTTATAGTTGAATTGTATTTCTGTTGAGTTGGAAGAGTGCTTTATATATGCTAGATAGGTGTCCCTTATCAGATATATGATTTTAAAAGATTTTTCCCTTTCTGTGTGTCTTTTCACTTTGTTGTTAGTGTACTTTGAAGTGTAAAATGTTTCATTTTGATCATGTATAATTTCTAGGGATTTTTTCCTCTTCTTCTCTGTGCTTTTTTGGTGTCATAGCTAAGAATCCATTGCCAAGTCTGAGATCCCAAAGATTTAGCCCTTGGTTTACTTTGAAGAGTTATATAGTTTTAGCTCTTATGTATAGGTCTTTGGCCTGTTTTGAGTTTATTTTTGTACTTGGTGTGAACCCTAGGCACCTGTGCATTTTACCTGTTATCTTTGCCATACTGTCGTTCATAATTTCTTTATACTCCTTCTCATTTTTAAAATATCAGTTGTAATCCCCCCTCATGGTGCTAGCAGTTTAAGTATTTTCTCTTTTTTCGTGGTCAATCTAGCTAAAAAAATCTTTTCAGAGAAACAGCTTTTGGTTTCACTGATTTTTTTCCATTGCTTTTTAATCCTCCTGCTCATTGTAGTTTCTCTTCTCATCCTTATTATTTTCTTCCTTCTGCTACTTTAGGTTGTCTTTGCTCTTCTCTTTTCAGTGTGTTAAGTTGGAAAGTTTTTGGATCTGAAATCTTTGTTCTTTTAAAAACTCTAAACAGATAGCCATAAATGTCTCTTTGTGCGCTGCTTTTGTTAGAGCCCATCAGTTTGGGTACATTGTGTCTTCATTTTTATTCATCTGAAAGTAATTTCTGATTCCCCTTCTTTATCTTCTACAGCCCATTGGTGCTTTAGGAGTGTGCCACTGAATTTCACATATTTCCATGTTTCCTGATTTTCTTTCTGCTGTTGATTTCCAGTTACATTCCATTGTGATGAAAGACATACACTGTATTATTTCTATCATGACTATTATTTTTTAAATAGCATAATTAATTGAAGTAACGGACTATGGTCTGGTTCAACCAAAGAGGCGTTAGTCCAAGAAGTAAAGGTTCCAAAATACATTCCTGCTCCTGTGGTCATCCCAAAGATGCAGAAGCGACCACTGACCTCACTCCTATAGTGATGGCCCCTGGATGTGGACTTACTCTTGCTCAGCCATTGGCTTGGAAGTCTGAGCAAAGGTTGTGGAGGGAATGGCTCCTGCTTGAGTGCTCTGGTGTTTTTATTTTTTGATTGATGGAGTAAACAGTAGTTGCTCCAGGTAAACTTTGCATTTTCACTGTGCTTTCCTTTTGTTTTTTTCCCTACAGTATTCTTTCCATTCCTCACCCTAGTCTACGAAGCATTAAATATTTCTCTGTTTCCAAAAAGTGC